GCCATGGCAATGGCAGCGGCAATGGTAAGTGTACTGGTAATGGCAATGGTAGTGGGAATGGGAACGGGAATGGGAACGTGAATGGGAATGGGAATGTGAACGGGAACGGGAATGGAAATGGTAGTGGTAGTGGCAACGGAAATGGGAATGGTAAGGGTAAGGGTGAAGGTAAGGGTAGAGGTACAGGTAATGGTAATGGAAATGATAATGGTAATGGTAATGGGAATGGCCATGGGAATTGGAATGGCGATCGAAATGGTACTGGCAGTGGTAATGGTAGTTGCTAATGGCAATGGCAATGGCAATGCGAATGGTAATGGTAATGACAGAGGTAATGGTAATGGTACTGGTAATGGAAACGGTAATGATAGTGGTAACGGGGTAGCGATTGACAATGGCAATGACAATGACAATGACAACGGTAATGGTAATGACAATGGCAATGGCAATGGGAATGGCAATGGCAATTGTAATGGTAATGGCAATGGCAATGGCAATTGCAATGGTAATGGTAATGGTAATGTGAATGGGAATGGGAATGGGAACGGGAATGAGAATGTGAATGGGAATGGGAACGGGAATGGAAATGGCAGTGGTAGTGGTAACGGAAATGGGAATGGTAAGGGTAAGGGTGAAGGTAACGGTAGAGGTAACGGTAATGGTAATGGCAAGGGCAATGGCAGTTGTAATGGTAATGGTAATGGTATTGGGAATGGGAATGTGAATCGGAATGGTAATGGTACTGGCAAAGGTAATGGTAGTGGCGAATGGCAATGGCAATGGTAATGGTAATGGTAGTGGCGAATGGCAATGGTAATGGCAGTGGCGAATGGCAATGGCAATGGCAATGGCAATGGTAATGGTAATGGTAATGACAGTGGTAATAGTAATGGTACTGGGAATGGTAATGGTGACGGTAAGGGTAATGGTAATGGTTATGGCAATGGTAACGGGGTAGCGACTGGCAATGGCAATGGAAACGGCGATGGCAATGGTAATGGTAATGGCAATGGCAATGGCAGTGGCAAGTGCAACGGCAATGGCAATGGCAATAGCAATGGTCATGGCAATGGTAATGGTAATAGTCATTGTCATGGTAATGGTAATGGTAATGGGGAAGGGAATGGGAATGGGAATCATAGTGGTAATTGGAACGGGAATGGATATGGTAGTGGTAGTGGTAATGATAGTTGCAATGGAAATGGAAATGGTACTGGTAACGGTAATGGTAATGGCAATGGTGATGGGAATGGGAATTGTAATGGTGATGACAGCGGTAATGGTAATGGTAATGGTAATGGTAATGGCAATGGTGTTGGTAATGCTAATGGTAATGGCAATGGTAATGGTAGTTGCTAATGGTAATGGTAATGGTAATGGTAATGGTAATGGTAACGGTAATGGTAATGGTAACGGGGTGGCGATTGGCAATGGCAATACAATGGCAACGGCAACGGCACTGGTAATGGCAATGACAATGGCAATGGGAATGTCAATGGCAATGACAATGGCAATTGGAATGGCCATGGTAATGGTAATGGTAAAGGTAAAGGTAAAGGTAAAGATAAAGGTAAAGGTAAAGGTAATGGTAATGTGAATGGGAATGGAAATGGGAATGGGAATGGAATGGGAATGGTATTGGGAATGGGAATGGGAATGGGATGGGAATGGGAGTGGGAGAGATTGAGAGAGAGGGAGAGAGAAAGCGAGAGAGGAAATATCAGAATAATGATGAGGAGCAACGTGAAAGATCGTAAAAAATCGTCTGAAACCCACAGGGACTCCACAATCCCCCGGCCTCGAGAACGGAGCAGATGAAGGGGGAGGGGAGGGGGCCAATCAGGAGGCGGGAGAGGAGGAGGAGGGAGGAGGAGGAAGAGGACCAGTGTACACCTTAGGCGCATCATCGAAAGTGAAATGATCCATTCCTGCAAGTTCCCTCTTCGTAGGTCCCTACGAGAATTGATTTCACTTCTAGAAATGCCCCGTTGCAGTACAACTGTCTGAGAAACCTCAATCGTGCCAAAGCACCCCTCTGGATTCTAGCGCCGCGAATCAACTTCACTGTTGCGTCCTGTCGTTCCTGCATCGTGCTAGAGCACCATCCCTGGGATTTCAGCACTGCGAATCAACATGATTGTTGCGATCTGACAATCCTACATCGTACCAGAACACCATGTCTGGGACGCCAGCCGACAGAACCCGTTGAATTGAGTTGCTGTAACCTTTCAGACGAATGTGCGCGGCGGTATGGTGAGAACAGCATGTTGATAACGACCCGCCCTCCACCCGGGAAGCTCTTGCAAACGTTGTTGTGCGCGGCGATGAGGCGAGAGCCACATTTTCAAACCGACCCGCCCTTCATCCGTGAAACGGCTCCAAAAGCTCAATACGAGGACTGTGCCTGCTGGCAAGACGAGAGGAGCGTGTTTCTTTACTGCTTTGGGCATAATGGGCATTATAGCCCCTGCCCCCCCCCCCTAACGTAACGCCCCTCCCCCCCCCCAGTGCGCTCCGGACACTGCCGCCGTGCGCATCGGGATCCTCATCGGCGTCCGCATAGGAATCCGCATAGGAGCTTGGTCTGCATTGGCAATCTCATGTGGATCCGCATAGGCATGTGCATGCGTATCTGCATAGGGATCCGCATATGGATCCGCGTAAGGAGCCGCATAGGGATTCGCATAGGGATTCGCATGACACTGCGCATGGGCATCCGCATCGGGATCCGCATCGGGATTCGCATAAGCATCCGCATAGGGATCCGCGCATGGATCCGCATAGGGACCCGCACCGGGATCCGCACAGGGATCCGAACTTGAGGTTTTGTGTTCCGGGTAAAAACTGTTTGTCTTGCTTCTGCTTCTCCCTCTCCTCCTTTTCCTCCTCCTCCTCCTCCACTTCCTTCTCCTTCTCCTCCCCCTCGGAGGAAAAGGAGGAGGTGGAAGGAGGAGGGAGGAGAGAAGAACGTCGCCTTTCATTATCAGCACATCCCTGGCGTGGCGTTTAGGTGTCCTCAGCAGATCCTCACCTACTTGCTTTTTCTACCTGATCTGTGCACGCAGGCACTGTGGTGTACACCAGCGCTGCGTGCACGCGGATGCTGTGGTGTAGACAGGCGCTGTGGTGTGCACAGGCGCTGCGTTGCACGCAAGCATTGTGGTGTACACAGGCGCTGTGTTGCACATGGTTGCTGCGTTGTTGCGCATTCGCTGTGGTGTACACTGGCGCTGTGGTGCGCGCAAGCACTGTGGTGTACACAGGCGCTGCGTCGCACACGGCTGTTGCCGGTGTACGCAGGCGCTGTTATGTACACGCGCGCTGTGGTGCACGCGAGCATTGTGATATACGCAGGCGCTGTGGGGCAGGTCGCCACCTAGATGCTGGTTGCGTCGTCGTCGTCGTCGCTTGTCGCTCGTCGCTCATCGTCATCGTGCGCTCGGGCGCGGCTGTGGTGCCAGAGCCACACGGCGGGGGAGGGGGGGGGCGTTACATTATCCCCTCCCCCCGCCCCCCCCCTCCCCCCTATAATGCCCATTATCGCCAATATTGAGGAAACACGCTCGAGCCACATTCTGAAAGCAACCCGCATCCCATCAGCGCAACTCTTGCAAGTGTTAGGACGGATGTGCATGGCGTTAGAAGGAGAACCACATGTTCAAAAGGACCAGCCCTCCATCCGTGAAGCGGCTGCAAACTATCAAGGCGGATGTGCGCGGCGGCAAAGCGAGCTCCGCATTTAGAGAACGACCCGCACTCCATCCGTGAAACTCTTATAGACATGTATGACGAATGTGCGCGGCGCTGAGGCGAGACCCACATCTTGAAAAGTATCCTCCATCCACCCGTGGAGTGCTCGCAAGTTCTTAAAACGAATGTGCCCGGGGCGCCAGGGGGATGACCACATTTCAAAAAGACCCGCCCTCCATCTTGGAAGCTCTTTGCAAACTTGTCAGGCAGATGTGGGCGGCGATGAGGCGAGAGCCACATATTGAAAAAGAATTCGCCCTCCACCGGAGAAGGTCCGGCAAACGCTTGAGACGAATGCGTCTGACGTTCAGAGGAGAAGCACACGTTCAAAACGACCCTGCCCTCCACCCTGGAAGCCCTTGAAACATTTTCAGGCGAATGTGCGCGGCGCTACGGCAAGACCCGAATTTTGAAATTTATCAAGTTTCGATCCATGAAATTATTGCAAGCTCGTCTGACCAATGTGCGCGGCGCTAAGGGGATAACCACATGTTCAAAATGCGCCCTCCATCCCTGGAACTCTTTAGCAAGCTGTGCAGGCGAATGTGCGCGGCGCTGAGACAAGAGCCACATTTTGAAAACGATCCGCCCTCAATCCGTGAAGCTCTTGCACTTCCTTCGCCTCATAATCAGAAGTGGTGAGAAATTCTCAGGCGAAACGCCCGCCCAGCCCGCCCTGCCGACATGTTCCGGGGTGTGACAGGGAAGATCTTTTTTGATAGGTGAAAGGGATGGAGGAGGAGCTAGAGGCCTCTTCCTCGGCTTTGCTCGGCCGTGTGCGTTCTTTCTTCTTGCGAAGCCGTCAGCGCACGAGGCCGAAAGGCGATCGGGGAGTGGACCAGGGGTCGAAGAATGACATAAACATAAAAACTCGGATGTCCGCGCGGATTTCTCGGATCAGCGCTGGACCCCCTTCCCTGCGCCGATCCGATAAACCTGCGCGGACCTCCGAGTTTTTCTGTTTCTGTAATCGCTTCCCCATGAGCGTCCGAGCGATAGCGAGGTCCAGGCTGCTCGCATCGGGGCGGCGCCCTTGTGACGAACGAACAACACGCACCCATACCCATAGGGGGGTCGTTGGGAGGAGGACTGGCTATGGGTATGTGTGCGGGTTGTCGGACCCTGGGGAAAGCTCCCGTTCGAGCGGGGACCCCCATCCGACAACACGCACCCATAGCCCTCTCCGACCCCTCTATGGGTATGGGTGTGTGTTGTTGGTTCGTCACCCTTGCGCGAGCCTGCGGCGGCAGGTGCTCTACATCTGCGCCTTCTGCAACAACCAGTGGGACGCCAGCCAGGACGGCGCCCCCGCGGCGGCACGCACGGGTGCCTCGGCTGGCCCTTCCGCCTGCACGGAGGGCTCCCGTGAGCCCCCACACGGTGGTCTCACACGCGGGCAGGCCGAGGTGTGAGGGGCTTCGAGGTTCGAGGTGCGAGGAGATTCGGGTCCGGGGTCCGAGGTTTTCGGATGTCTTCGCAGCTCTCGGCGGTTTTCCAGCCTCGGGATGTTTGCCAGCAGCTGCGCCTCGCCGAAGAGCGTTCGGGCGGTGCCGGGATGGTCCCGAACGGCCTCCGGAGACCCGAGTTTTGACCCAAAAACCAAACTTGGCGGCGGATCAAGATCGTGGTCGAGGTCGGTTCGGAGAGGAAACCCCAGTGTTCTTCGTGCTTGTAGTATGTTTTTGAGCATCTTGGGCTCAGATGTTCTGTGTGTTTTGGCCGTCGGAGGGTCTCATGGTCTGGAGGGATGTTTCTTCTGGCCCAAGTCCGACGGTAGTAGCCCGAAAGGCCATGCTGAAGCGCGGGATGCCTCCGAAGAAGGCTGGCGTCACGGTCGGGCTTGGCACGCTTTGTGTATTGTATTGTTCGAACGTCTGCGGCCCCCCTCGGCGGTAAGCGAGGGGGGGAGGTGAGGAGGAGACCTTCTCAGAAGGCGCTCGGGGCTTCTCAGAAACCTTCGCGCCTTCTGAGAAGTTATTCCGTGTCCTCGGAGAAGGCTCGGTGCTGCGCGGGGCAGAGTCGTCGGGCTTGCTTTCGGCAGCGAGAAAAGCAAGACCCTCGGCCGCGGGCGGGACTGGGACGATCTAGAGCTGGCGGGGGCGCCTGTGGAAGTGATGGGCGGATTGGGTTGCAGATCGTACTCTCCGGAAGACATCCAATACAGTGGAGGCCCATGCCAAGTAACCCCCTGCTTGCCTCCAGGGTGCCCTGGGTTTCGATGGTTTTGCTGTGGACAACGCGACGTTCCCACACCAAAAATCAATGGACGTCCTGGGGTCTCAGGGCTGGGTTTCTTGTGGAAGGTTTCTTGTGGACGGGTCCCCTCAGCATACATATAGACTTTTGGCGCTCCGTGCGGATTTCTTGAATCTGCGCTGGGCACCCCCGGCGGCGCCTCCGGCGCCGCCCCTGTCTATGCAGTTTCTACTTCTGCTAAATAGCTTTGCTCGGATCTAATTCGGAAGCTGGAGGAATCTATATATATATATATATATATATATATATATATATAGATATACATTACCAAGGGCCGGCTGTTTTTCAATCCCAGGTTTTTTTTAGGGTCGAGGACGACGCTGGGGTGGTGTGGTGTATATTTTTTTCTCCGATGTCCCGGGGAACCGACGAAAAAAGTATACACCAGGATCCCATATACACCAGAATGCGCGCTCCTGTGCGAATTTCGGCGCAGGGTCGGGAAAAGCGTCGGTGTATAGAGTTCGATTCCCTACCCATATCTCATCCAATGGTATTTTCTGATGGTGCTTTCCGTCGCGGCACGAGTCGCGTCTCTGCCGACTCTTCTGCCCACGTGCGCAGTGCGAGAGCTGGTGACACCACACTGGTGTGTGCTTCCAGGGCTGCCCGCTCCATACTCTCCGCAGTGCATTTCAGACATAACTCATTGGGGTGAATATGGATTTCGATTCGTTGATAAAACGCTCAACGGGTATCTGATCAGTATAGTCATAGCTGTTCCTATCAGTCGGAAAGCCTGTGCAGTGTACACGCCCGTCGATGAAAGTCGGTATCTCTGGATTCCCAGATTCCAATCCAGCTGACGCGCCTTCCCCTTCAATAGTCGATATGCTGTTGCTGCTGTTTTGTGATTATTTCGGCGGGCCCGACCCCAGTCTACGTTATCCGCCTTCCTACGTCATGTTTCCACGCACTTCTTTCGACCGGCGCGTAATGGGTTCCTCTTACGGTTTTCGGGCGTGCCGCATGACGTTCGCCCCTTGCCACGAAAGTATGCTTGAACTTGCCTGTTGTCCATTTGGCGGAAGGAACTCTTCTGGTCGCCCCGGTGGTCATGGCCCCCCGCCTACATCAGCCGAAAAGGTAGGTGACCAAAAAAGATGGTGACCGATAACGTGTCCGAAGTCGTGACCGAAAGCGTCGTGTGAGCGAAACTCTTACCGAAGTTGAACATCGTCTTGGCTTCGAGCCAAACGTGTCGGTCACATCTGTGCGCGGTCGGAAATTTTCGGGCGCAAGATTGAGTCACACCAGGGCAGAGATTCCGGCATAGTTTCGGTCACGACGCCTCCGTGATAGAGTCGAGGCTACGTGACGGTGGTCTCGCCCGCCACCTTGTGGACTCATGCCGGCAGCTGCCTTATTACCTGGTTGATGTCAAGAAAAGCTCCTTGTCGTGGCCGTCGTCGTCCGCCGTCCGTGAATCAGAGGGTCCCACACATTCACATTCTCCTCTACCAGTATGTCGCCCGACCCCGACATCTTTGACCTTCGGGTGCGTCGGCGGCCCGCCATTTTGGCGGATCCGTGCGTTGTCATCCAGACGACCCCGCACGGCATCATCAATTGTTTTCGCAGTCCGCCGCGAGGAGAGGGCCAACCACAGCGTGAACGATTCCGTCTTCTGCCGCGTGTTGAGAGCCGAGTCCGAGCTCGCGTGGGGAATGAGGAAGAGGAGGAGGAGGAGGAGGAGGAGGAGGAGGACGAGGAGGAGGAGGAGGAAGAGGAGGATATTCGAATATGCGTGTTTCGACAGATTTGGCCTCTCGAGGCTTGTTTCGGGCCCCCGGCAACGAGAAGCGTCGACCCGTGACGCAATTAGCCAGGATGAACCACGTCAGGGGCCCAGGGACTGGCTTTGAACGAATTTTGAGGATCCATGCAAGGGAGGAGGAGGAGGAGGAGGAGGAGGAGGAGGAGGAGGAGGAGGAGGAGGAGGATAAGGAGGAGGAGGAGGAGGAGGACATAGGGCGTGCCTAACGAATTCCATGTTTTTGTTAATTTAATCGCTTCGCTCATTCCGCCGGCCCTCGAGCGCTCTATGGGGCCTCGTTGAAGCCTCTTGGGGGTCTCTTTGGGGCCTCCTAGGGGCCTCTTGGGGGTCTCTTGGGGGTCTCTTGGGGCTCCTTGGCGGCGTCTTGGGGCCCCCTTGGGCCTCTTGGGGGGCTCTTGGGGACCTCTTGGGGCAGGGTAGTCGAGTGCACCCCCCTCGGAGGCCACGATCCTCGTGAGGGGTGTCGAAAAAAGGCCCTCAAAACCATCTCTGGGTAGACTTGGTCGGGCTGCGGTCGGGATACTTTTCGCCGGGGGACCTCCAGGGGCCGCCCCGCGCGCGCGAACTAGAAATATCGATAACCAGTTACCGGAGATCCTAGCACGCCTTTGGCCCGTTGGGCCGGCGAATTTTTCTTCGGGGAGCCCAGGGAGGTTAGGGGGGCAGGGGTGGGAAGGATCGAATAATTAGGATGGGTGGATGAGGGGCGGGGGGACAGGCAGGGCAAGGGAAAAGCAGGTGAATGCAAAAGGAGGTGGAAGGGGGGAGAGGAGGGCGAGGGAGGCGATGAGGAGGGGGAGGATGATGGGATGAGGAGGAGGAGGAGGAGGAGGAGGAGGAGGAGGAGGAGGAGGAGGAGGAGGAGGGAGGATGAGGAGAAGGAGGAGGAGGAGGAGGAGGATGAAGAGGAGGAGGAGGAGGAGAAGAAAACGCTTGCAAGGGGAGCGGAAGAGGGAGTGAAGGAGACAGAAGGGGGCGAGAGCAGGCCGAGGGGGGTGAGTGTTTGGGGGGAACGGGGGGGGAGGTCAGGAGGAGGAGTCGGTGGTTCAAAGATGGGGTTTTGAGGTGCCTCAAACTATGGGATTCCACCCTTGGATCCCTTCCTATCCTTAGGACCCCATCCCTCAGGACCCCACCTTCGAGCCACTGAAGGAGGAGGGAACGAGGAGGGTGAGGCAGACTGCGCTGCTACTGTGCATCATTTCTGTCATCCTCTCGCAACGAAGAGTCCCTGTTGCCCTCCTTCCCCTCCCTCCCCTCTCCCTCCCCTCTCCCTGGTGCGGCGACTCGCGCCAGCGACGGGTACAGGCTTCATCTACACCAGCGATATGTTTAGACAAGCCGGCATTGCCCCGAAGTCGAGTTGTTGTTGCCTTCTCCATCGACGGGGCTCTTCGCCGTCTCGCCCGTTCCAGTCCTGCGTGTCGTTTGCTCCGCCCGTCCTTCGTCTGGTTCCATGCTCCTTCTTGCCGTTCCCCAGCATGTTCATCGCATTTCCCCTGGGTATCGCCCTTCTCCTCCTCATCATCCGTAGATGCCGCATCATTCAGTCCACCCATATAGAAAGGATGATCGACCTTCCAAGGTTAACCCTTGCATCCTTCCCATTCGGCCCATCCTTCCTTGGTCGCGCCCCGCCCGCAAAGTGTCCGCATGGCCTTCCAAGGCCCTTGCATCCTTACCGCGCATCCTTGTTAAGACGGGTTGATTGTATCGTCATCCTCCTCCGTATATTGCGCAACATAGTGCATGTGTTCTTGATGCTGCTCATCATCACAAACATTCGTTCTGGGATCCGTATGGGGAATCGGATCAGTTGGCGTGTCTGAAATTCGTATCATCGAAGACGCGTGCGGGGAGTCACCGTCCCCCCCTTCTGTTTGGAAATGCCAATCATGCCAGACGCTAGGCCGAAATACTCCCCCTAGCCAGTGTGGACCAGGGGAGCGTAAGCTCCCTAGCAGGGGAGTCCCACCACCTGGCCAGGGGGGTCAAGAGCGGAGGGGCCTTGTACGTCAGCACTGCCGAGGGCGGTCATGACCAGCTCCCAGGGGGGGCCGTCTGACAGGAGCCCCTTGCATGTGGAGGTGGCGGAGGGCCCTCGGAGGACGTGGATCCCCTTTGTGGTGCGCGACGGCGGGGGTCGGCACGGGCGCCGCGGGCGGGCCGCCCAGCCAGGGCCCCACTCGCCGTCGAACTCGTGGCGACCGCAGCGGAGGTCGTGGTGCCCCATCGGGGAGATCACCCGCCCACCCCCCTAACCCCATCGACGAGCGGCGCCGCGGCCTGGAGTGGCTGGACCAGCTCCTCCTGCCACATTCCCGTGGGTCGTCCGAGGCGGGGAATCTGCCCGTCTCGACCGCCTGGAGGGTCGGGTGTCGGAGCCTCGGCAGGCGGTGGCCATCTGGACATCTTCGGGCCCCCCGGGGGGCCGAGGTGTGCCCCCATCCACTGCCCGCTGGGGCACCAGGACGTCGGTTCCCCCATGGGCTCGTCGCGTCGCCGAAGAATTCGAGTGGGCACGGGGACTCTTGCGCGATCACGCGGATCTGTTGGGTTCTCTCGCTGCTCGTCCTGGACTCATGCGCGGCCCCGAGGTTCAGGAGGAGCTCGATCAGATCGATTTCACCGAGATACGTTCTTGTCTATTTGGTTCCCAAGTGGCGCCCCCTGAGTGCACCGAGCACCGGGCGGTGGACACCATGGATGCACGCCCGCGCCTCGCAGGCCCAGCGCGGGGCTCCGGGCGCGGGCGGCCGCCCACCGCGGCCCGCCCCGCACGCGGGCGTGGGCGGCGGGCTCGCGCCCCCTGCCCAGCTGCGGCAGGGCGGGCGCGCCGGGCTCCCGCGCCCTGCGGGGTGCGGGCACGCCGCCGCGGGCCCACCTTTTGGAGGGGCCGCCTGCCGCGACCCGCTGCCCCGGGTTCTGGTGCTCCAGCCTATACTCTGGCCCTGATCACCAGAAAGGGCTTCGAGCACCCGGAAAAGTGTCGAACGATTGTCGAAACAGTGTCGGGCGAGTGTCTCCAAGGGCCTGACGCGTGAAAACCATTGAAGCTCGGTACTTTTCACGCGTCGGGCCCTGGGAGACACTCGCCCGACACTGTTTCGACAATCTTTCGCCACTTTTCCGGGTGCTCGAAATTATTTCTGGGATGTGGTCTTCCAGTACGATGGGAGCAACATAAGCCCAGGGGCATGGGCGCTCACCACCCACCAAACCACCCCAACCCAACCCGAAGGCCTCACTTTGCCCCACATTTCCAGTGGGGGGGAGGTCGGGCAACATTTGAAAAAACACATGGCACCCGTACCCCCCCCGCACCCGAAATTCGGGCGAAATTCTGGTCTTCGGGTTGGGTTGGGGTCGTTTGGTAGGTATTCAGGCGCCGCCGACGACGGGCCCGACGCCCTCGTTGGCCAAGGCCCAGGACGGCCAAGACATCGTGGACCACGCCTCGGGCGCTGTGGCGATGGCGCTGGACTCGACGCCCGAGGAGGCCCGCCGAGTGCGCCCGCCAGGGCGCCCATCGGCGCGGCATCGAGGGGCCCTCGAGGGCCATGAGCAGTGCGCCCCGGCGCGCCTGGGGGCGAGGCGGCAGGGGCCAGCTCCCCCGACCAACGGCCGCGGGACCCCTGGCCCAGCCCGCCCCGCTCGGGGCGCAAGCGCTGGCTGGGGAGGCGCCCCTGGGAACCGCCTCGCGCCGCCGGCTCACGGGCCGGGCCGCGCGGCCCGGCCGCGGGGCCCCGACCGGGACTGTGCGTGAGAGTGACCCTGCGCCGGAGTGACCTTTGTGGTGCGGGCACACTGGGGTCCCTCGGTCGCCAAACGCGAGGCGGCAGTGGCGTCTTGCGTGCCTGGGTTTGGCCCCCGGCGGCCCCCCAGAAGCCGCGCACCACAGGTCTTTCTTACCCAGGGTCACTCTTGGGTATAGTCGACAGACGGCAGAGGACGGCCGCCGAGATGGCGCTCGTGGATCACGGCCGGACGACTCGGACGACGACCGACAGCGGGGAGGCTCCAGGGGTGCCGAGCGGAGCCAACTCCCGAGCGGGGGCGGCGCCTTCCCTCGCGGGCCCGCTGTCGGTCGCAGGCCCCGAGGCTGGGCGGTATCGGGCGCGACGGCGAGCTGGACCTCTTTCCTCGCGAGGGGCTGCAATGCGTCGGAGGTCGCGGCCTGCGAGGGGATCGCCAGGAATGGCGACGTGCTCGAATCGCTGAGAATGGTGTGCGCGCGCAGCAAGGGCATCCTCAGTAGTATCGGGTGGGCCACCTCGGTGACCAACCAGGTGGCCTACGGGCGCGCCGCCTTGGCGCCTGTGGCGGGCCCGCGCGACCTGTCGACTGAGCCCCCGCTCGGGGAGAAGCCATCGACGCCTTCCGTCTGCCAGACGACGACGAGCTCGAGCCGCGCCAGCGGCTGGCGACCCACGGGGCGACCTGGCTCAAGAGGGCGCGTTGCGAGATCCAGATGCTCGAGTCGGTCGACGGAGTCGAGCATGGGCAGCTGCGTCGCCGGGCCCTGAGGTTCCTGGAGAGGGCCCATGCGAGGGCCCCGACGGAGTACCCTGACGCCGGGGTTAAGAGCCCGCGGGAGGAGCGCCACGCGACTTGGGTCGAGGAGCTTCGTGAGCTTCGCCGCCGCTTCTGCGGGACGCTCCGCTCCGAGAACCCGCGGCGTGACGATGTCAAGGTCGCCCCCTTCTGTTCTGGTAGCGACCTAGGGTCGCCACGGAGGTTTGATCTGGGCCAAATGTACAAGATGATGTCCAGATCGCAGCACTGAGGAAACGAGAACCTCAACGCGCGCGAAGCGCACATTGTTCTAGCATGCATTGAGTCGTGTATACATACACATCTGTATGCTATATATAGAATATGGAGAGATTACACTAACCAGTGTTGGCCAGAGGGGATTGACCGGGAGGGTTGACTGGGTCATTAAGTGTTATCCAGGGGGGCTGGCCAGGCTCATCGTTGTAGAGGAAGTTTCCACCGTCCCGAAGTGTATTCTCGAAGTGCCGCGAAGTATATTCATATGTTTATATGTATGTGCATTTGCATATGTATATGCATCTATACTATACAAGCAAAGCCCTTAGCGTTGCTACACCAGCTGAGCCCAGAGGTCGACGGTGTGCGCGGTGCTGAACATCGACGATGCCGCGCGCGTGTTCGAACGCGCCTGGTGCCAGCTCGAGGTGCTGCACGCGCGGCTGCTCGAGAAGCGGCTGGTGCGCTCCCCTCGCGGCTGCGGCATCCGATTCCTGCCTGCGCCGAGCAACGATCCCGGCAGCTCGATGGGGGGCGGGGGCGGGGTTCGGAATTCGTCGGGCATGGTGCGACATACGTGCCCCGCCTCCCCCCTGGGACCTCCAGTGCCGGGGGGGGGTCCTTTAAAAAAACCCGCTCGGCGGACGAAGCCCAGCATGAAGTAGAGATTTTTCTGCCGCGGGGGGGGGAGCGCCCCAGGGAAGCTTACAATAGCATTAAGTCGGGCATGCCCCTCTACATGAGGAGTATTCAAACAGATTCCAAACATAGCCATGGGGACGATTTAAATATTATTTTTGTTATACCATTTTTTGGGAATACTTGCTGGGAGTTTGTTTTGATACAAAAACCGCCCAGGATCCACCTGTAGGGGGGACACGCCCGACCTAAACATAGCCCCACTTGCCGCCACGTGTGGCATGAGCTCATGCGCCCAGGCGCCGCCGCGGCGGCTGCGAGCGTCCCGGCCGCCTCCCCTCGGTGAGAGCAGTCGGTGTTCGGCGGGGGTGCGGTGAGGTCGGGCATGTCCTACAGGAGGAATCTTAAACAATAGTCAATAAAATAGTACGGGGACGATTTCGTTGACTATGTTTTGGCATTTGTTGGGTATTTGTTTAAACATGTTTTTTTTGGTCGTCCAAAGTCTCCCTGTAGGGGGACAGGCCCGACCGAAGGGTACGGCTAAGTCGGGCATGTCCCTCTACAGGAGGAATATTCCACAAGTATGTCGGAGTATGTTCCCGTATCTTTGAACATGTTTATAGCATGTTGATGCTTCTTCCAAGTCCGTTTGTAGGAAGACATGCCCGACCTAAGGGTAGGGCTCGGATGTCGCCACCTACCTCTCCCTCTTGGGAGGGCCCGGAAGCGGCAAGAGCGCTGGGGGGCACGGCCCCCTCTCCAGATCGGGGGCAACGGTCAGGGGGGATAGAGGCTCGGGAGGGGATGTATCGACGAGAGGGGGGGGAGATGGAACTGTCTTGTTCGTTTGTGGGCGTTTTCGCCAGCTCTCCGCGGTGTTCCACCCTGGGGGGTGCGTTCCAGCGGCTGTGCCTCGCCGATGGCGTTCCCAGAGTGCCTGGATTGTCCCGAGTGGCTGCAGGAGGCTGGAGTTATGACCCGGAAGCAACAGGCGAGTCGAAGAGGTCAGGGCAATGTCAGGGGGCAATAGGCTTCCCTCCCCCCTGAGTTGGTCCCCCCCTAGTGAACTTTGCCCCTCACCTCCAACCAAATCAGGGGCAACGTTATGGAGGGATAGGCTCAGGCCGGAGGGGATGCATCGTGCGGATGTGCTCTCGAGTGCCTATGACCACGATGTGTCGAGGACGCTGGCGACGCATCGACGGCCGCTCCCTGGGAGTTTGTCGAAGTGGCGCGCATCATCCGAAGTCGTGGCGCGGCGCATGTGCCAGCCATCACATGGCCCTCGGCCCATTCCGCTGCCGTGCCCGGGCTGCGGGCCAGAGCCCTCACGGGCGTTTCCTGGGATTCTCTTCGGGAGGCTCTCGGGGGCCTTTGCGGGTGGGCGGCGCGGCTGCTTGTTGGCGCTGGTTCGGGCTTTCTTCCCGTCGCTGCGCGGATGCTGGCACTGCATGCCTGGTGCTGTGGAGTTCGAGTGTGGCTTGGCGTCTGTTGTCTCCTCGAGCGTTCTCGAGTTTTCTTGTCTTTTCTGCGTGTGTCACCGAGTACAGGGCATCACTCCCCAGGATTTCTGTGATGCCTCTTCCAGGGCCGTCTTCGGAGGTCCATGGGCGCTCATGAGACTTCCTCAGGACTTGCTCGAGCTCGCCCTCGGACTCTTTCGGGCCACCTGGGGGCCACCTGGAGGTTTCAGATACCATCCGGACTCGAAAAGGGGGCCAGGCACACGTAACGGATGCTGTATTGTACGACCACCCTTTGGGTGATAAGGAGGGCGGGGGGGAGGAACCAATGTCTCACTCAAGCGATCTAACTATCGATGCCACCATCGATCTCACTGGCGATCTCACTATCGATCTTATCATGGATCTCACTATGGATGTCACCATCGATCTCACTATCTACCTTGGTATCGATCACACCATCGAAGTCACGATGGATCTCTCTATCGATCTCACGACCGATCTCACTATCAATCTCACTTCCGATCTCACTATCGATATCAATATCGATCTCACCATCGAGCTCACCATCGATCTCACCATCGGTCTCACTCTCGATCCCACGACCGATCTTACTACCAGTCTCACTACGGGACACCGGCGGGACACCCCCGGCCATCGCCGGGCAAAGGGGCGGGGCGGCTTTTTGGCCCGGCGGCGCCCTAGCCAGGTGCACGAGCACGAATCCGAAACCGATTTCCACGTGGGGGGCTCTCCGTTTCACTGCGACCTCGCCCCTTCATCTCCGAGACACGTCCCACGGACAGTGGCCAGCCCGTGGGCCTCCTCGAGAACCTCACGTTGCCCTCTCGGGCCTCGCAGGGAGCGGGGTCGGCCGCCCCGAAGCCATCGACAGGCCTCTTCTGGCCATCGTGGACCTTCTTACGTTGCCTTGAGGCCGTCTTGGGACACTCTTGGGTTGACAGGAGGTTATCTCGATGCTTCCTTGGGCCGACTTGGGGCCATCTTCAGGCCTCGCGGGGCCGTATTCGAGGCCTCTCGGAGGCGAACGGCCTGAGCCGATCACACCTCCTGACGATGAGCGCGCCCATCAGCTAGGAAGCAATTGGAGCAGCTTCTCAAGAACAGAGAACTTATGGAGGTGGGGCGTCGTCGGGGGAGTCCAGAACGGGGTCGGATCGCGGCGCGAATTTGCACAGGGTAAGGGGTCTCAAGAACAGAGGCATTGAGAAGCGGGGGCGTCGGCGGGGGGTCTTAGACTGGGGCCGGATCGGGGCGCGAAGTTGCAGAGTGGGGGTGTCAAAAACAGATGTCTCGGGGAGCGGGGGCGTCGGCGGGGTGGTCTCGAACGGACGGGGCGAATTTCCGGGGTGGGGGGCTTCAGAAACAGAGGCACTAGGAAGCCGGGGCGTCGGCGGGGGTCCAGAAGCGGGGCCAGATCGGGGCGTGAAGTTGCAGGGGGGGGGGTGCTTCAGGGCCTTAGCGTGGCATTTCAGGGCCACTCTTGGAGCCAGCAGGGCTCTAAAGGGGCCCTGAAGTGCCACATTAGGGCTTTTTTCTTTACCCCCCGAATTAGGTCGCCCCCCATTTCCACCCGCCCGACACTGCCGCCACCATTTCCCCCCTCCGTTTTGGGCGCGCAGAGTGCGACAGGGCCGCCGCCACCCCCTCCCACTTCCTCTTGGTGTCGTGTGTGGGAGCGTAACACATTTTATTTTCCGCACACTGGCAGCACAGGGTGGGTCATGGGATGGGGGCAGCCGTTACCCCCGCACACGACACGCGCGCGCAGAGGAGGAAATGGAAATGAGGAAGCGGTTTTCTCGTGATCTCTTTTTTTTATTCGTGTTTATGTATGTATGTATGTATGGATGTATGTATGTATGTATGTATGTATGTATGTATGTATGTATGTGTGTATGTATGTATGAATATCTATATGTAGATACAGTAAACATCTTCTCATGAGGATTGCAATATGAATTCTTTCGTACTCGTTTCCGTAGCATTGCTGGAAGAATTCCTGCTGGCGCCTGATCGGTGCGCACGGTGACATGAGATTGGTTTCCCTGTATTGTTTTGCGGGCTAGAGGATGTTTGGGTATATTTATGCCGCAGAATCATATATTGTGGGCTACCCTGCAAGCGAGATGATGTGTAAGCATATTCTCGCGAGGAGTGCAATTGGAGGTGCTTGGTTTTTGATTCGCGGCGCCTGGTTGGCACCCGCGGCGACGTGGGATTCGATTCCCCCTATTGTTGGGCGGACTTGGTAATCTTTGGGGGTTATTTCTCCGATGGAGTCATCCATTGTGGGCTACCCTGCACGCGGGAGGATTAATGAGTATCTTCTCATTATAATTGCAGTACGCATGTGTTTCATTTTGGTTGGCGGGTTTGCTCATACTCGCCTGATTAGCCCTGTCGGAATCTCTCCAGCTGTCAAATCGTGGGCGCTCGCGGCAGTGTTGGGCGGGGTGGATAAATGTTTGGCGGTTATTTTTCCACTGGACTCATTTGTTTTAGGCTACCATGCACGCGCAAGGATTTGTAAGCATCGTCTCGTGAGAATTCAAGTAGGAGTTGCTTGGTTTTGATTCGCGAAGTTGCTCAAAGTCGTTTGCCGAGCACTGCTGGCAGATCTCCTGCTGGCACCTAGTCGGCACGCGCGGCGACGTGGGATTGGTTTCCTCCGTCTACTGTTGGGCGGGGTGTGTATTGTTTGGCGGCTATTTCTCCAACGGGATAGTATATGTTTGGCCCCCCTGCGCGCGGGATGAGTTGTAGGCATCTTCCCATGCGGCTTGCAGTCGGAACTACTTCGTTTTGATTCGCGAGTTTGCTCGACGTCGTCTGCCTAGCCCTGCTGGCAGAACTCCTGCTGGTGCCTGGTCGGCGCCCGCGGCCAACATGGCAACTTGTCCAGTGCGCACAATACAGAACTCGCCATCGTTTGTATTGTCCACGCGACAGAGGATGAGTTTTCAGAGGGCCAGCGCGGGGTCTGAATTTCAACAGTCCTTCTCTGGATGGAGCTTTCAGAGTAAAGCCTTTGCGTGCCAAGTGTCTGAAACAAGGTTTTTATGAGAGCGGTGCTGGCGGGCGCCGCGGGGGGAAACACTTACCTCCCATCGATTGGTTGGATTCCAATCCGTCAGTAAGGCCACGGAAAAATACTTACACTTGTTTGGGGGAGTTAAACAGCCCCGAATGTCATTAGTATTATGATTTATTCATTTTTATTTTTATTATTATTATTAGAATTGCTACTATTATGTAAATGTACAGTGGTCCGTTTCTTTTTCCATATCGGTTATCCATCCATATGTACGTATACCCGCTTATATGTACACACC